GTATTGAACCACAATCTTGGCATATCCAGACAATGCTCTAACCAACTGAACTACCCAGCCAGGGCAAACCTGACTTTTTGGATTACAGATTGGTCCTTGGTGGCTTTGCACCGACTGGGTGTTTTGTATCCTTGGCCCCTTAGCTTGCCCAAAGTAGGCATCCAAAGTTGCTCACTACAGTAGGCTCTGAATTATACCCTGTTTCCTTGAAAATAACACAGTGTCTTCTATTAATTTTTGCTCCCAAAGATGCACTAGGTCTTATTTTCAGGGGATGTCTTATTTTTCCATGACGAAGAATATGATACACATTTATTGTTAAATGAAAATAAAGGAAATTTATTACCTGTATATGGTACAGTAGTACGGTAGTTGTCAACACAAATCTGACAAACTGAGAACCCTACAGTATCAAGAATTTACTCATTTATTCAATGACACTCATGTCATCATCTTCTGGAACATCATCATAACAATCCAATTCCTGAATTTCCTGGTGAATTTCTTGTGACTCCATTTCTTTCAGAATCAGTGGACCAAATCTCTCATGTTTAGCCTAGGGGGGGGGCTTATTTTTGGGGGATGCCTTATATTTCACTCAGAAGGAAACCTGTAAGTAGGTCTTATTTTCGGAGGATGTCTTATTTTCGGGGAAACACGTTAGTACTGGGGTTCTAGTTGATTACCTGGATTGATTATATGGATTCTTGTCTCAGTTCCACCACTAGCTAGTTAGCAGGATCATCTATAATAATAAAAGCATAATATGTAAATAAACCGAAAGACCGAACAGAATGACCATCTGGATGACCTTCCAGATGACCGTGCTATGACACGCAGTGGCGACAGGCCAGCCAAGACCGGTGTGATGTTATTGGTCGGCAAGGCCCCACCATCACTCCATGATCACCCTGCAGAGGGAGGCCCAGGCCAGTCAAGCGATCACACTCCACGCCTGTCACCCACAGAGGGAGGCAACCAGTGGCAGTTGGGGCCAGTGTCCTACAGATGGCAAGCAGTGGCAGCCAGGGGAAGGAAAGCCCAGATAGGCCCTGATCTTTGGCCAGGGCTAGGAATGCTACCCGAGGGGTTCTGGATTGCGAGAGGGTGCAGGACAGGCTGAGGGACACTCCAGCCCCCATCCCTTGCACAAATTTTGTGCACCCAGACTCTAGTCTTACATAAAAGTCAATGCATCCAATTGATGTTTTTTCTTCTGTAAAAGGAAGGGTTGTGACTTATTAAAAAAAAAAAAAAAGGGTTGTGGCAAGGGTTTTGGTGTCTGGTAAACCCATTTTCTGCCACTACTAAGACGTGTGATTTTTGCTTTTCTGAACCTCCCTTTCTATTATAATTACTAAAATGGATAAAATACTAAAAACTGCCGTGTAGATTTCCCAGTGCAATGAGAATCAAGTTACTTGTTCACTAGTCCTACTTCCATCATGTGAGTTAGGACCCGTTAACCTTTGTGTGTCTCTGTTTTCTTATAAATAAAAGTGAAGAAACAATAGTCCCTGAACCAATGGGATCACTGTGGGCATTAAATGATATGAAAATAGTAATGGTATTGAAAAGTGTCTCGCATATTATTAGAGTCTTACAATTTGTGAGCTGAAAGAATTAGTATTCGATTTCTACTACTAATTACTCTGCGGGCTAGGAGCTCGGGACAAAACCAAAAATCGTTCTGCAGGCTCCACACAGTGCAACACAATGCAGTACTTCTCTTTCAAAAGCGATGGACACGCCCAGCCCTGGGTTTAGGGCCTGCCCAGTCCCTCATTAAATATGGCAGCGAGGGGGGGGGCGGGCTACCTAGTGCGGCTGCGCAAGCGTAAACCCCTCCCAGCTCCTCGATCTCAGCTGCAGTTTAGGTCCCGCCGCCTCCGAGCTGGCATCGCCCCCTCCCCGCTTGCCCAAGGTGTGGGGAGAGGGCCCCCGCCGAGGCGCGCAGGCGCACACGTCAACTCTGCTTGGCCGATACTTGGCGAGGCGCCCGTCACGTGAGCCGCGCGCCAGCTCGGCCCCTCTCCTCCGGCTGTGAATGAAGCTCAGCCGGCTACGTGGGGCGCCAGCTCAACTTGGCGTTCTGGGCGCCAGTGCCAACTGATCGCCCGGCCCGCCAGCCCTGGGCACGGGCTCCACCGCTCCGGATCTCGGCGACAGGTAAAGACATTAGAGCTGTCCCTTCCCTAACAGGTCCTTCGCGGCCCACTGCCCCCCGGCCCACCCCCGCGAGTATCCCCTGCGATCGGTGACAGGGAGAAGCGCTCCCCGCTGGCTCGGCCCCCTGGAGATGGGGGTTCCCCACGCCTGGCCACCGCCTGGCACCCGAAGGAGTTAGACCGGCTAGTTCCAGCCAGCCAAGGGTGGCATCTTCTCGGGAGCCCAGCCCTAGTCTCCGAGCTCTAGGGTCCCAGCGAAGTTTTCTCGCGGAGCGGCGCCAAGCCCGCCCCGCTTTTGAAAGGGGGAGGTAGCTGCCAGGGGCCCCCTTTCCAGAACCGGAGCGGGTGGCTTTGGCTGGCAAAGCTGTGTCAAGGCCCCGTTCTTCTGCCTCCTGTTCTGGACTCACGGGGCGGTGTAGGTCTTAAGAGAAGCTGGAGTCCAAACTCTCGGAAAACTAGTTGCTGCTGGGGTTTTTTCTTTTCCCACTTAGCGGAAAGGCGGTTCTCTCCAGATTGTCCAGGCTTGCGCCTGAGCGCCTTCACCGTGAAGGGCTTTTCCTTCACATTGATACGCCTTTACCTTACATTTCAGAGCAAATCAGTTTCCTGGACTGCCAAGTGAAGCCGTGCGGGCGCGCCTGATAACGCCTGTGTAAGCTACCTCGCCTCAGTGAAGGAAACCCAGAAGTGGGGGGCATAGAAGCCAGTAAGAATCTGCTTTATGTAAACTCCATACGTGTATTAGCAATGATCTGGGTTGGACTTCAGAGATGTTACATTTTGCTTGTTTCCACCAAGCGCGGATTGGTACTGTGTAACTGCACCCGAAATAAGGGGAAGGAGGGGGGGGGAGGGAGAAGAAGGCAAACCCAAATGCTGATCCAGGCTCCGGATAAGTAAGTCTTCGGAGCACGTTTTTTCTTCTTTGCATTTTCTATCTTTCTTTTTTTTTTTCTTCTGGCAAATCCATCCTAGGACTTTGTGGATCTTTCTTTATGCAAAGCGTTGCCTTTTCTCTGCTGTAGTTTTTGGAACTAGTGTACACCGTTCGCACTTTGTCCTTAAAACATCCATGAAGAAGGCCAAAATGATCGCTCTCAACTTGGCGTTAGTCTTCATATGTGTGTGCTAGTGCTTTTCATTTCGTGGTGGAGGTGTTGCTTGTATAAAAGCTATGGAGCCCGGCCAGCGTGGCACCGTGGTTGAGCATTCACTTATGAATGGAGAGGTTTGATTCCCTGTCCAGTGCTGGGGTTGCAGACTTCATCCCCAGTGTGGGGCGTGCAGGAGGCAGCTGACCATTGATTCTTTCTTATCATTGATGTTTTGATCTCTCCCTCTCCCTTCCTCTCTCTAAAATCAATAAAAATATATTTAAAATATATTTTGAATGGGGGAGGTTAGATTTTTATGGTTTCTGCCTCCTACTGGGGATGGGACCTGGGGCACTTCAGTCCTTAGGCCCACGCTCTATCCACTGAACCAAAACTGGCTAGGGCCGATCAAAATATATTTTTAAAAAGTTGTGGAAATAACGCTGTGCTTTGAGGTTGACCAAGTCAGAAAGATTAGAACATTTTCTTTCTTTCTTTCTTTCTTTTTTTTTTTTTTTTTTAAAGCAAATTGGCTCATATGCTAAGTAAGGAAGACCAATTTATTAATCAAGTACTGGTTTAAATAAATGGACAAGCAAAGTGTTCAATATATTTAAACTCAAAATCAAAGTAGTCGAATTTTTCATCCCCCCCCCACCATTCCTAGCACCTTTTTTAAAAAAAAGTCTTCATTGACTTTTTTAGAGAGAAAGAGGATAGAAAGATAAAAATGTCAATGTGAGAGAAATACCAATTGATTACCTCCTATATGCTCCCTACCAGGGATCAAGCCCAAAACCCAGGGACCCAGGCATGTGCCCTGACTGGGAATCGAACCAGTGACCTCTTGGTTCATGGTTTGACGCTCAACTACTGACCAACACCAGCTGGGCCCTAGCATCTTTTATGTCCTTGCAAATAGTATTGTCCTAAGGTGGAATTTGACATTTAAAAAATAGGAATGAGCTGGATTAACTTGACTTTATTAAAGTAGTACTTTATTTTGTCTTTGGTCTTTCTCCACCCGCTCCCCCATTATGAAAGCAACATATGCTCCCTACAGGACATTGGCAAAGTGTGGAAAAGTATAATGGAGCAGAGAGGGAGAACCACTCAAAGGCATCACTCTTTTTATTATGTTCCTTCCTTTTCTTTTCCTATATAAGATCTATTGGAAACTTTAAGTAGTCACAACATTTGCTGCCCCTTCTACACTTTCTGTTAATGTGAAGTTGGGGGTTTGGGAAAGGGCATTGGATATCATGCTGCTCTTTATTTCCCAAAGCATGGGACATCAAGATAGGAAAGATGCTTAACAATGATCTCCTCCAAGCACCCATCCTTGAAGATTCCACATCCCATTTGTTGAAGGTCCCGAGATCCATGCAGAATTGGACAGCACTTAGTGGCAATGTGAACTGACTCTTGATCTCCCCACTTTATGTGTCAGCAGCGATCCCTTGCGGCTTAGGACCAACTTGATACTGCCTGTGTGCATACCTTTGAAAGAGAGATTTAGGGAGGGACAGGACATAATTTTCAAGGATTTGAAATATTTTTTAAATTCAGGTATCCATTTTTTATTTACATTTCCAGGGTTGGGGCTTGAACATCTGTCATAAAGTAAGACCGCACCGCGGCTGTTCCAGCTATATCCCGTTAAAACCTCCCTGCAAAACTGGAGTGCTCTGGGAAACTCTGAGCCTGTGACCTCAACGTGGGAGTGGATAGGATCAGCATGGCCATGTGGCAGGGTAAGGAAATTAGCACTCTTTCCTCTAGCTGGTTTTTCTCCCTTCTCTATCTTCCATCCCTTGTTCCCCCAACCCCAGTTCCAGCTCGTGGCAGGCAGCCAACTGTTTCTTTAATTTAACCCTTTTTCTTCACCAGGACAAAGCGTTTGTGTTTAAAAGAAGTTCGCTGGCTAGAAGTTAAAAATATTTAAAACTGGGGATGGAGGAGTGGTCTGGGAAGTAGAAGGAAAATGTCGTGCCAGAAGCATTTTCAGAAAATTTCCTTTGTTTGAACATGTGCTCGTGAGGGTTCTATATGGGGAAACAGTATATTTTTTCATATTTGTGTTTTTCATTTGTTTCTGGCAGTTTTCTATCATAAAGTTTTCAAAGGTGAAGGAGACAGATGTCAACACCTTCCTGGAATCCTCTTCCCAGTAAAAACTTTAAAGCATATTTAATGTTACAATGTTTATGTTTGGTGATAGAAGGAAAATGCCTGTTTAATATTACGAACTACTCAAGAGCAAAGCTCACTGATATCTTGCCTGCTGGATTATATCTCTCGTAAAGCTGTGAATTGCTGCTGGCACAAAGTTATTTCTTACTTTTAGTGGGGCTGAGGATTGGGCCCTTTGGGATAGTATCAGAATCTTCAGGGGTACGTGGGCTTTTTATGTTATCAAAGGCGAGTGTAGGTTTAGACTTGATAGAAAAACCTACCAAATTGGTCTATGACCCACAAAAGGTTAAGGATGGGGTAGAATGAAGAGTTTGGCTGTCTATAAATACTCAACAGGTAGGTTTGTTGGTGGTCTGATGTAGCTTTTAAAACTGTATCCTGTTGGTTATGGCTTCAAGTATGGAGTCACACAAATATAACAACTGTTTTTTTTTTTTTTGACATAGAGGATTGTCAAGTTAAAGACATTTGTTGAAATGGGATTCTGGCTGTATGCCTGCTTTGATTCACACAATGGGCATTTATCTGGAGCAGTTTGACTATTCTTGTTAAGTCCTGAGATATTCATTCATCCAACAAACAGAATACAGAGATGAATAATACACGGGACACTAGACAGTTCCTTGTCTTATGGAAAAGACAGACAAATAAACAAAAATTGTGTCAGGCTGAATAAGTGTGATAATAGGGAGAGGTACAAAATGCAATAGATGCCCAGAGGAAAGCATAATGAACTCTGAGTTTTGAGCTGGTCTAAATAAACGAGTGGGAGTTTGCCAGATGGGCAAATGAGAGAGTTGCATTCTGGGCAGACAGAGAAGCACTGTTTGAGAACTTCTAAGTTGCTCTGTGTGCCTCGTGTGAGATGTATGGGGCATGACCTCAGATGAAGCTGGGAAGGTAGTTGGGGGGGGGGGGCGGGCACCAAATAAAAAAGAGCCTTGTATGTTCTACGGAGGATTTTACACTTTTATCCTGAACACAAAGATTCTAAACATGGAAGTAACATGGTCAGATTTTGTTTAAGTTGACTTTGGCAGCAGTGTTGAAGTGGGGTTGGAAGCTGGATAGAATGAAAGCCAAGAGCATTTGGAGAGTTTCTGGTATATTGCTTCAGGGAAGAGATGGTGAAGGTCTGAGCAGAAACAGGAGCAACAAAGATCGAGAGAAGGGAATGAGTTCTAGAAATGCTCAGGGACCAGATGTGGGAGGAAGTGAGCCTGGGGCCATTGGTGCTATTCACTCAGATGTGAACGTGGGAGGTTATGAGAGGGACATGGGGATGGATGGTAGGAACTTACTGTACCTCATTTCGTTTGGCTTGTTTTGTTTGAGACACCTGTGGGCTGTCAGGTTACTGTTTAAAAGCCAATTATGAAAATATGGGACTGGAGTGTGCGCGGGTGAGGATCTGAAGTATTGTTGTAAATGATGCATAAAAAGCACATGTGTTTTCTCTGTGATTAATGGAAATGCCATTAGTAGTTAATGATTTACTTATTGTTATAATACATATATTTTAATGGATAACAACTGTTAATAAAAAGGTCATTCATTATTTTCTTAATAAATAATATATTTTGCTATCTCAGGCCCTGGAATCTGATCTGTCTAAAATCACATCGGAGTAAAACCCAATTTTTCTAGCATTAGTGAAGAGGGAAGTATGACACCTAAGTAACGACAATACATTTCTTGTTTTGGGCAACCTCTGAAGTGACAAGCATTATACAATAATAGTTTGGGTGGCAGCATAAATAGTAGTTAAAAGTATGGGGCTGGGTTCAACTCAATTGGTTCCATTTGATAGCTGTGAGACCGTGGGCAAGCCCCTTAATCTCCTCTGTGTCTCAGTTTTCACCTTTGTAAAATGGGGATAATAATAGGACTCACTTTATAGGGTTGTTGAAAAGAATGAATTAATATATGCAAAGCACTGGGAACATAGTAAGAGTCCTATAAGGTGTGTGCCATTATTACTAGTACTGAGACATTTAGAATATTGTCTCATATAATAAGTGCTCAGTAAAATGTAGCAATAGCTGTTGTTTCTACTATTACACTTCTATTACTACTATTCCTGCAGGCATTTTCATGTTGTTCTTGGAAACCCCACCTTGTGTGAGTCTGTTTGGGTCTTTAGGTAGAGGTTTAGAACTGAAGAGATCCTTAGTAAACCTCTAGCCCAAACCCCAGAGCTAAGTGACATGCCCATAATCCAACAGGTTGGTAGTAGTGACTTCGGTCTCTTGATTCCTTATTCTAATTTTTTTTTCCATGGGCTCATGGAAGAGGGTATGTGTGGGCCTTTCAGCTCATGGAAGCTCTGAGTCAGTCTCTGAAGCTAGCTGAGGAACTCTTAAGTGGTAGAGGAAGCCAAGTTTCCTTAGTTTCTCAAGTCACCTCTGTTCAGTCCTTCCATGGAGAACCGGATCAGAATTGCCATACCTCTTAAACATGGCCAACGTAATTATTTTGACTTCTTGATGGAGCCCTCTAATACATTCCCTGGCCACTTTCAAGAGAGTATACTGGGCATAATTTAGTATTTTTATTTTTTTTTGCTAACTTAGGCTCATTATTAATAACATCAATTTTATTGGCTTAATAGTTAAGGCAATGTTGCAGAGAAGACTAGCCAGTTTGGGATGAGATAAGGTTGGAGACTTGTGTTGTCAGTTGTTATTTATTTATTTATTTTATTTTTATTATTATTATTTTTTATTTTTATTGATTTTTTTACAGAGAGGAAGGGAGAGAGATAGAGAGCTAGAAACATCGATGAGAGAGAAACATCGACCAGCTGCCTCTTGCACACCCCCTATCGGGGATGTGCCCGCAACCAAGGTACATGCCCTTGACCAGAATCGAACCCGGGACCTTTCAGTCCGCAGACCGACGCTCTACCACTGAGCCAAATCGGTTTTGACAAGTTGTTATTTTATTTATTCAGTTAACATTTATGGCCCTGGCCAGGTAACTCAGTTGGTTAGACTAGAGCATTGACTCCATACGCCAAGGTTCTGGGTTTGAAACCTGGCTAGGGCACATACAAGAATCAAACAATGAATGTATAAATAAGTGGAACAACAAATTGATATCTCTCTCTCTCTCTCTCTCTCTCTCTCTCTCTCTCTCTCTCTCTCTCTCTTTCTATCAAATAAAGACATTTAGGAAGCACCAGTTGTGCACCAGGCACAATGATGCAATGGTCAGTAAAAACAGGTATGGTCTCTGCTCTCATGGAGCTTGCCAAATAAGATAAAAGTAGCATTTCAAATTATTGAAATGTGCTGAAATGATTTGTAAAAATTATACCAATATAAATTTAGAAGGATTAAAATAATTATTTAAAAAAGGAGGGGATGCATCAGAATTGCCTGTGGTGCCTTTTAACAATATTTCTGTTCAGGTTTTACTCCCCTTCCAAAATTGTGATTCAGTCTTAAGACATGAGCATTTAAAGAAGCTCTGTAAGCAATTCTAATGTGTAATCCTGTTTGGGAACTGCTGCATTAAAGAATCTAAAATTTGATGGCACTTGGATTCTGATTGAATACTATAGTTGCTAAAATGATAATGTAGAGTTCTATTAGGTTCATGATATGATGTTAAAGGGTGGGGCAGAGGGAGGTTGATCTCAAATTATCAATAGTTAAAAGTCTGGGCTCTGAGCTTGTAGCTGGATTGAAATTCCACCTTTATAAACTGCATGATGTGGGGAAGTAACTGACTTTAGTGTTCTTCAGCTTCCACATCAGTTCAAGATGGATAAAATAGCAACAAAACAGCAGAGAACCCAATAGTTCCCAACTTGTATACACCCATTAGGATCCTCTAGGGATCTCTTAAACCCACCCAGGCTCATACCTTACCTAGTCCAATTAAGTCAGAATCTCTGGAGACAGGATTTTAGAAGCCCCCCACCCCAGGTAATTCCAACGTGTGGACAAGTTTGGGAACAGCTGAGTAATAATACATAGGGTAGCTGGGAGGATTAAATGAAAATATCACAGTGTCTGGCACGTGATAAGTACTCAATTCATGTTGACTGTTGTTAGTAACTGTTATTTTATTTATTGACTTACTTATTTTTGTTTAACTCTTACTAGAGGATATTTTTTGCACTGATTATTTTTTAGAGAGTGGAAAAGAGAGGGAGGAGAGAGAGAAGAGGGGAGAGAGAAACATCAATGTGAGAGAGAGACATCGATTGGTTGCTTCCCACAGGCTCCCTGATCAGGGCTGGGGATTGGACCTACTATCCTTTAATTTAAAAAAGGATAATTTCTGAAGGAAATACCAGATATATGTGTGCCATACAGCTTTATATACTAAAGTATTTATAATAGTGACAAACTGAAGACACAGTTTCCATAGTAAAGGGAATGTAAGTAAATTATGGTAGGTCCATAGAGTAAATTATCTGGCCATTAAAAATAAAAAGTAAGGCTGACAAAAATCTTCATGATCTAATGGAAAAGTATGGGATTATTCCATTACTGGCTTTTTAATTTAAACACTAGAGGTCTTGTGCATGAAATTGGTGCACGGGGGT